GGGCCAGGTAGATTTGAAGCAGTGGGGGCAGGAGTAAAAGGTTTTAGGGCGTGAGACGGGTTAAAGATAGCCAGTATAAGGATATATGAACGACTAGCTAAAAGGCTGCCTAATGCGGTTAAGCTTGGGCCGACTCGTGCTAGTCCTATGACAAGCACTGCGACCGCAAGACATAAACCGTTAAGGCAGAGGGAGGTAACAAAGAGCTCAGATAAAGGGCCAAAGGGATTCACGATAACGGGGGAACAAACCGGGCAGCAGATTGCCAGTCCTAGTAATACGTTGTGCATCGTCGCACGTAGGTGCGATTCGCCTGGGTTTCACAGGGTCATCAGGATACTTATTAAGATTCACAATAGGGAGTGAGAGACAGGGGGGGGGGAAATTTTAAACAACTTGGGGGTCACCACCGCCCCAGTAGTAAACGAAGATGTATAAGAACAGCCAGAGTTCAGGCTAGAGCCTATTTTGTAGTACCGCGACGGGGTTTAGAGCCAGCAGGAAACGCTTCCTCGATTAACTTAATCCAGTGTTCAATTGGCTCCTTACGTGAATTAACCGGAGAGCTATAAAGAAGATGAACTATTTTAAGTAACCCTTCCTTGGTAAGATGACCTTTATTTAAAACTATCTGAGTGACCTCGGAGGTTAATTCAAACTGAGGGGTTTTCCAATAGAGGTAATTGGTAAACTGGGAAAGAAAAGGGATTACGTGGGTAGCCACCCTGGCTCCAGAGACCGATAGAGCGGTCATCCCTACGCCCTTAGAGGATAAAGATACCTGAAAATAGTCGTTTAAGACTTGAGAGAATAAACCGAACATATGAAGGGTATCGGCTGATGATTTCTGGGCTAATTCGAAGAAGAGTTTAACATAAACCTTAGGGTGTCTGGCAATGGGGTCGTCCAATTGTGTGGGACCCCTTGCGCCCACAGAGAACAAATGATACCACGTTTCTAAAATAAATAATGAATTTATTCGCAACCGTCCACGTACCAAGGGGTACACAAGGGTCGGGGGTTGACCTCTCCACACCCCACAGGGTGTACGACGCTCGGGGGGTTGAATACAATTTACCCCATAAGGTGCACACAACCCATGGATTGAATAGTATTTACCCCACAAGGTGCACACAGTTAAACGGTAATAAGTTTACCTCACGGGACCCGAAGAAGAAGGAAACCAGAGAAAGGGGGGGGGGGGGGGGGGGGAGATTTAATATATACAGATTCATATAATGAGATAATTGAACAAAGAAGAAAAGGAGGAATTTATGCCCTCCTATGCAAAGAGGAACTTGTAAGCAAAAGACTCGAGAGTAGGCCCACAAAACTTCATAACAGAAAAACCGCGACTGGTGATTTCCGGGTGAGTACGTAAGACCTGATCCCAGACCTGTTGAGGAACAAACTGATATTCAAGCTCCCATCCGTTGATTTCTGCACCCCCATAAAGGGCCTGATGAGCTTGTTCTGCGGTACAACCTAGTGCTTGAGTAATAGAGTGCTCGTCAGCGATTAATATCACATTATGTCCATTAACGACCTCATAGATAGCGGTTATATGCCAAGCTCTAGGTCGCCCTTGTAGATCCAGATCCATACAAAATACAGAATCCCGAAGAAACAGCATTAAGACCAGTATACCGCCCACTATGAAGACAAAGAATAGTAGTTTACCCCATGAGAACTTAGTATTAAATATCATTTTTAACAAATTGTTTCAGTTTACTAGGTGAGTAATAGTTTAGAGGGAGGGAGTTTACCGTCCCGAGAGCCCCCGAAGAGAATTGCTTCTCAATGAGGCTGAGTGAATCACATTACCTCTTCACCGCTATAGGATCAAGCAATTCCTATAATATCCCAACGGCTTTAGGAGCTAGTCGCCCGCGGTTCACTCAGACTCGGATTCGGGAGGGCCTTTTAACGTCATGCCCAGGACAAATCGGATACAATTACTGATATTTTTGGTCACAGAAACCATTCTGTTGCGTAGAAGGGGATGTCACCACGACGTGGTAAGCCCCAGAGAGGGGGCCATAGGCAGGGGGGGGGAATGTTAATTAAACAAGTTTTGGATACTAGAAGTAGGTCAAAAGCCAAGAAGAAAACTACAAAGGCCACCGAAGTCATTAAAAAGATTCTCACAATTCTCGGAGTAAGCAGAAGTCCCTTTATTAGGCAAAAGAAGCAAAGAGCGCAGTGGGAGCAACTAAACCGATACCGTTGTTAAGGCAGACGGACTGCCATAAATTCATTATCATTTGCATCGTCGCAGCTCAGTGCGATTCGCCTGGGTCTCACAGGGTCATCAGGATGCTAAAGGCAGTTTAGTCATGTCTAGAACAATAGTTGACGAGCTTATCGGGTTTGAACAAAAGAGGGAACGGAACGAATAACAATATAAAAAGCAGGGGGTGGGGGGGAAATTTAATGTAAATTAAACAACTAGGGGCTCACCGCCACCCCAGTAGTAAACGAAGATGTATAAGAATAGCCACACTACGTCCACGAAGTGCCAGTATAAGATAGCGCCCTCATAACCTACATGATGGTGGTTAGTTAGATGGTAATTAATCATTCGGAATAAGGCTACAGCTAAGAAGATAGAACCTATTATCACGTGTGCGCCATGGACATTGATTTTATCTCCGATCGGTTCAGTAGTATCTCCTTAGGAGATACCTCGTAGAGGGACCGAAGACGGGTTGTTATATTAAAACTTCATAAGCCTAAGGTAAGACAGAAAAAGGAGAGATCAAGAACTCGGAAAGATCTTCCTGATTGGTGGGAGCCTATCCACCGATGGGATTGCCCGTGTAGAGGTTTACACTTTAGTTATATTTCTTAGTTTGTCTTATGAAGAGGCGAGCCTTTGAGGCGAATTACCCACGTACGTGGCCTCGCCTCAGACTACCCTGTAGTGTCAGGGGGGCGGAGGGCACCGGGAGGTGCGTAATTCCGCCCAGCTTAGGTCGTTTTAATAAAACCCTTTACCTTTCAGTAAAGATAGGACTATGCCTTAATGATACCGAAGGTATCACCACTTACGTACAGCCTCTGAGGATTCGAGTAATCAAACCCGACTCCTGCAGGTTGCCCCTATTAAAACTATTTTAATTGCCTTCGGCAATAAGTTCCTTTACAGGAAGTTCCTGCATTTAGTAAGTTGAAGGCCCATGAAAGCCCGTAGCAAAGAAGAAGCAAGTACCAAATGCCCCGTCGGCTATAGTGAAGGTTGCGTTATAGTACTCGTAGACCTGAACCCCAGTGAAGATAGATGCCAAGAGTAGAGTAAACAAGAGGGCGAGGATTGAACCTTGCCGATTCCCTGCTATTAACGCGTGATGAGACCAGGTAACTGTAGCGCCGGAGGAAAGCAAGAGAATGGTGTTAAGCAAAGGGAGTTCCCACGGGTTGATAGGTTCAATACCTGCAGGAGGCCAAGCACAGCCTAGTTCAACAGTAGGTGCTAATGCAGAATCAAAGAAGGCCCAGAATATAGAGAAGAAGAAGCAGACTTCGGAAACAATAAACAGAATGATCCCCATAGTTAGGCCACGTTGCACTGCCTTCGTATGGTGACCCTGGAAAGTACCTTCCGCTATACAATCCCGCCACCATACCCACATAGTAGTTAGAGTAGTGATCACTCCAATGCTTAATAAGAGTGGTCCGATGGCTACCCCATGGAAGCTCATTACCCCTGATAGAGTAGTAGTTAGAAGGGCCAAGGAGGCGCATAAGGGCCAAGGCGAAGGTTGAACAAGATGGAAAGGGTGAGGTTGAATTAACATGTAATTAAAAGCATCCAGCAACACCGCCCCCTAATCAAGCGGTATAATTCTGCAGATTCCAAGAATCCTAAGGCTCTAGCTCAGAGAGCAATCTGGTTCAAGGCCAATCTCCCTTCCTCTGCCCGCGGATCGGCTTGATCCCCGCCGTTTTGAGGGGCAGCAGGGGGGAATTTTTATTCAGGATTTTCAGAGGGTTTGCCTTTATCGGCATAGTTAAGAGCCCCATAACCTAATTCAAAGAGAAAGCCTACCGTTAATAATACACCAAAGATTAAGAAAATCCAAAAACCGTAATAAGAAATTGAATAGAGCGCCATAGCAAAGGGGTAAACAAAGAGGATCTCACAATCAAAAACGAGATATAGAATACCTACCAGAAAATATGAAACATGAAATTTTTGCCGTGCTGTACCTGAAACGCTGAATCCACATTCGTAGGGGCTAAGTTTGGCTGGATCTGGCTTCTTAACAGCTAGCCTGTTATTAATTAGCAATAAGGATGCGCTCAATAGGGCCAGGATGCAGATAATAATAATCAAGGAACTGTCTCCACTCATTACCAGTAGTAATAGCATAGAGCTATAAGATGCAGGGAGTTTAATGAAGCATAAGGATTAGCTAGGAACAGAATAATAATAAGGGTCAAAGTAGCAATCAGCATGGAAATTAGAGGGTTACATTCGGAAGCAGAGTGGCCCGCCGGGGATAACAATGGCAATGAAGGGCCCAGGGTTAGCGATGCGGGGGGGTTACCTTCAACGAACAATAATACTCGAATAACTCTAAGGTAGAGCCCCGCAGTTATAACAGATACAAGAATAGCTAATAACGCTAAGAACAAGAAGCCAGAGTCCAAGGCTGCCATGACCACGTACAGTTTGGCAAAGAACCCTATAAGCGGAGGTATCGTTGGTTAATACGTTACTTAACATGAGTAGACGACCCTTGCGTAGCAAGCTGCGACGAAGTTGCCTTGCGCGAGGCCCCTCGCCCGGACCCTGACAAGGGTGTCAGGCCGAGGGCTCGCGGAGAACAATATTTGACCGAGCGGTGGCTCGAACCTCACTCCGGGTTCGTAGCGAGACCAGAGAAAAACCGCACTCGAGCGAAGAGGAAATTAAGAAAGATCGGCTTCATAAGAAGCTATGTAAGATAGCCCATGGACTTTGAAGAGAGTACGATTCTTAAGATAGTTGAAAAGAGTAGATCGAGGCATACCTAAAAACTCAGCCAATCTAGATCTATTAGAGTAGATAGCAATTTGTTCTAAGGCGTGAGAATGGACGATATATAGATATACAGGTTTACCTCGGTTAAAGGAGGGATGGCTTGCCCCTTGCTTCCTTGCAGACATTTTCGCCTTCGTTTCTTCAGAAAGCTCCCGTCCCTTCAGAGCAGCAGAGATTTTGTTCTTCGTTTCCTCAGAGTGTTTATGCCCCGGTCCGGCGACGTACGTTTGCCGCGCCGGAGCGTACGCGGGGCCGGCGTCCCAGACTATGGGATACTCCCCCTCCCGCTAGGCAACTACGTCGCAGCGGGGGGGCCGCCGCCATCAGAGAAGCCGAGACCTTGGCCTTCGTCTCTTCAGAGCGCTTTACTCCGGCGACCGGCTAGGGGCGGAATAACGCACCTCTGGTGCGCTCCGCCCCCCCTACACTACTAGGGTAGTCCGGTCGCCTCTGGAGATCCCGCAGTGGGGCTTATATTATAAGCACAGACACAACTATCAAGAACCGACTGCTCTAAAGAAAGAACCAAAGCACCTGTAGCCTCAGGGACGAGAAAAATAACCAAGATGAAGCCGACAAGTCCATATTTGAGGAGAGCTTGTCCGATGATACCGTGGGACTTACTATCGTTCATATAGCTTGAGATCCGTCTGTGCAGATTGACCCGGCGGGCGGACGCAGTTTCACCCGCCGCCCGGAGGAACCCGCGTACATTTTACCGTTGACGCGGCCCCCCCGCTGCGACGTAGTTGCCTAGCGGGAGGGGGGCGATCCAGACTAATGGATTAGTCCGGCCGCTCGGGATTGATCCATAAATAAACCCCGCCAACCAGCCCCTCTTTACCCTTGGAGAGAAGGAATTCGTACACCTGCTCAGGTGTGACAATAAGCAAACACATAAAAAGTCATAGTTTAATTCAATCAGAAAGTTTCGGGCCCGAAGAGCCGCTACTCATCCTTTCTTACTTAAGTAAGTATTAACACTTGGACTATATCTTATTGTACTTTCAGTACTATTATTACGTACAGTCTCTGAGGATCTCAAGTTTCGTTAGTGAGGTTTCCTGCTGATTACCCAAAGCTTAGGAGATCACCGTGAAGGTATCCTAAAGTTCTAGAGCTTCCAGCATATAGTAATATACAGGCTACCTTAACCTGCCATGGAGAATAGGGTGACTGCAAAGCTGAGCCTTAACGCAGGAGCCGGTAGGATTCCCCGTAGGGAAGAGCTTGATAGCTGGAAAGGAAAGGCAATGAGCACGAAAAATAGGTTGAAGGAGGTAACCACATACTGGATTAGGTAGAACAGAAAGGCCTCGAGAGCCTGAGGAGATTGCAAGGCTAGAGCTAGAAGCATGAACCCCATGTGGGAGATCGAACTGTAAGCTACCAAGCGTTTAATACGGTATTGAGCTAGGGCGAGCAGAGGAGCAATCACAAGCGATAGAAGTGCCGAAGCTACCAGAATTAAGCCCCAATAAGTATAACCGGTAACCAGATCGCCCCGAATAAGGCTAAACCCCTGGAAGAGTGCTAGGAACCCAAGTATGCCGAGTTTCGGCATAATAGCTACCCATGTAGTGACCAATGTCGGTACCCCGTCATAGACATCAGGGGGCCAGAAATGGAAGGGAGCTGCACCTAGTTTGATTAGAAGGGCAATACCTATTATTACTTCAGGAATTACCAAGGCGGTAAACCCTTCACCCATTGAGCTGAGCAGATAAAGCCCTTCTAAACTAGTGACCCCTGATAACCCATAGATAAGGCTAGACCCAAGCAGGATAAAGCTACTGGAGAGCGCTCCTATTAGGAAGTATTTAAGGCCGGCTGAAGTTGCTGCCTCAGACTCACGGTTCAAGCAGGCGAGGATGTAAACTGGGAGGGTTTGAAGCTCTACAGACAAGTAAACGGTTAGTAAATCAGAACTAGTTACTAGGGTAGTCATACCTAGAGTAGTGATTAGAATTATTAGAGGCAATTCAGGGAGAGGGGCTCCTGGCGTCCTGATGCTAATAGGGTAGCACGGAGCCAGGGGGTTGCTTAGATGCCCGCTATGCGGATGGCTTAAAGAACCGGAAGCTACAAGCATAAATAAGCAAGCGGAGGCCAGGATTAAGGTAGTTAAACCATGTGAAATAACAGAGAGCAGGGAGAGTCCACCATAGATCCCTACGCCTACTCCTAAAGGCTCAATAAAGTAAGAATTAAAGGCCAATAGCGAGCATAAGAGAATTACTAAGATGGCTACTCTAATGATTACTAGTGAGCTCATGAGAAGGGTTGAGAAAGGCATTGCTGCCGTAAATAATAAGATGGATAAAAGAAGCATAGCTCTAATTGGTTCTCAACTAACTAGTGGAGCCGGGGGGGGG